TTAAGCATCATGCACTTAACATGCCACTACTCAATAGACTTTGGAATACTGGAGGATAAATAATGTCTGCTAAACCCTGCCAGAGTTTTTCTACAATGTTTTCTAGTTTTTATTCTCTCTATGCAATTTCAGCCCTGCAAAACCCTCCACAGTGCTGTCACAACAAATGTCAGCATGTGGAAGTATGTTAAGCTATCTGAGATGGTATAGTGTTAAGAGTCACAGATTCTTAATCACAGCATTAATGAGAGGGAGAGGATCAAACTAAAACAGTCCAAATACCATCTAAAGGGAGAAACACTTGATCAGCTAGTACTGTTCTGACTATACCATTTTTTGTTAATAGAAAAACGTTTTTTCTACAAACCAACTTTTCGGGTAGGTTCAACTGTGAAAGCATTTTGCTCCTATGAAAATTGTTTTTTGTGCAGGCGATTAAGGGGTGACTGAGGAAAAGTCTTAAATATGTATCTAGTACATACCAGACATACCTCAACACTTGGCACTCATTTCTGATGTCTCCACTTTTAATGACCTGAGTTTTGTTGTCTTTTTTACTTTTTTCAAGTTCATAATATTTTGAAATCAGAAAACATCCACATTGAATGCCATTGGGCCTGCTAAAACTCAGCTGTTATGGATAACATGTATATTGTGGAAAGGTAAAGTCTATATTCCTCTAGTTGGAATTCGTCTCTTCCCTGGTTATTGCGGCCTTGGTTATAGGTCTCTAAAGAAAGATTTAAGAAGTCGTAGTTAACATTTATCCATTTTCAGTAACTGCTTAGTCTAGTATGGTTCATGGTGAGCCAGAGAATAACTTAAAAGACAACAAGAGCAAGGCAGGCTGTACCATGGATGGGATTTCAGTTCATAGCAGAGTATACACACTCACATACATATGGGGAACAAGCAATAACAAGCATGTCTACAGCCAGAGAAATAATGCAGCCACAAATAGATCATACAAACTTTACACAGCAATAGGCTAGCTACTGTACCAAAGTCATCATTTTTATCTATATTACTTTTGTAGATTTTAATTAGCCATTAAAAGTAACATTTTAATAAATAAGCATTAAAATTAAATCTTCAAAATAAATCTTGAAGAGCCAGTTGTTGAATAAACACGTATCAGATGTCTATAGTAAGTCTACTTCAACGTTTCTTGCATTGTGAACTTCAATAGTAAAAAGTATGGAATACTATACATATCCATGGAAATGAATGCCTTCACATAAGGGTCAGTAGTCTGATTATACACTTCAATGTTCAGAGAGGGAAAATGTGTTGCTTTGTTCACTGCATTTTCATGTCAAGAAAAGTGAAATTAATTATTCATTTGTGATAATGTACAGTACAGTAAATTTTCCCCTTTGTATTTCTGCTCTGTATAGAAAGTTCAACCATGTGCACCTCTGATTAACTGCTTTATCACCCGCCTACAGTACTATAGTACCTTAAAGTTTATACAAAAAAATATAATTGAAATCTTTCAGTCACTTGAACGTGACGAAGGTTAATAAAGCAAAGTGTCTTAGGATGACATATCAAGAGACAAAACGCACACAATGGAATGTACTAAGCAAGGATCCATTATATCTATTGACAAAACATTTTAAAGATTAAACATTTTGTAGTCTTCTGCATATTTTTTATTCTTTGGAGGAATATTTCCCGAATTATGAATAAAAAGGAAAATTGAAACAATCACATACTTATTGATGAATGTGCAATTCCTAGAATATATTCATCTATTGCAGCAGTAGCACACAGGAACACAGTAATACTGTAGTAGTGTACATTTTATCTGATGACTTGGTTAGACACTTGTCAATCCTACCTCCTTGACTTTTCACAGATTGCTTTAACATAAACAGCTGAACTCACAAATATGTCCTTCCATAATGTGGCCAGGACTCCCAAAGTCCATCTGCTTTAAAACATCAGAAGACTTCCTCTCCCAGTCCAGCACTTCTATAGTTAGCAGGCATTGCTGACTAAGAAATGACATCACATACAATACATTCTCTCTAACTCTCACCCTTCACACACGATTTTTCATAAAAAATGCTTTGAAGCATTTGTCATAAAAAGAATTTCAAAATAATTCAGAACTTTATTTCACATTTTAATAACAAATCTTCAATATTATTTCTGTAACAATTTAGTTGATGTTGTACAACTATAAGTGCAGCAGAGGGCGCAATTGGGGCTTTTAGAATAATGCAAGTACTGTATATAAAGCTCCTTAGAATGTAGTGTAATTTTAAAATGTATAGCAATTGACATCAATCAATGCAGAGTGAAACACAACACTCCCCACCACGTCAATTTTATATGGTCTGAATATTGTTACTTTCACCATTGCTTTATTCTGAGACAGAGAAATGGCCATATTGGAGATTTTACCCAGCCACCAGCCTCTGGTTGCTCACTAGCTTTGAGGTATGAAGGCTTTCTTCTGCAACTGCACTCTCTAAATCTGACTTCCAACATGTGCATCCTGATAGTAGAATCTACTTTCTTCTCCTTTTATTGTTTGCTACACAACCCCGGCTGTGGTCAGCATCTGCTTGAGTAAAAGAGTTTGTGTGGGACAGTTCACATGCGGGGCAGACACTGGTTGCTGTGAAGCCAGATGACTGAGGAGGTCTCGGAGTCAGTGACACTATAAAGTCAGCGACATCAGACTCTCAAATTACACGGTGAGGAGGCCAAAGAGACTACAGTAAAACCACGCAGCTTTCACTGCATCCAACACAAATCGCCTTAAGTCCTGAGAGTTTTACGGTGAAAATCTCTTATTTTTCTCTGTCTTCACTTCCTTTTTTCCTGATCTTACCAGTTATTAGAATCTTAGCTCGGCTGGACCTAGTTAGTACACAGTTGGGTGTCTTCAAAGACAAACGAGGTTGGTGCTATAGGCGGTATTATTGTGCTGGTACTGTAGGTAGCACTCTTACTCCAGGTCAGTTCCTGGTTGAATTTCTAACCAAAGACTGGATGCTGGTTAGGGAACACTGTGCTGTAGGAGGTGCTGCCCATCATATAAGATGTTAAACTGAGTTCATGACCACTTTTATCCAGCCAAGTGTACAAACAGATCCCTTAACACCATTTGAAAGAATATTCATGTTAATCCTGGTGTATTTCCATTTTGGGCTCTAGCAGGTCTGTTCCATCTTAATTCCATTCGAGGAGCAGAGTCTTACTTCTCTATGTTTCATGTAGTGATGCTGCCCATGCATATTGGCTACTAGTATGACTTTGGACAGTGGGAGGAAACCAGAGCCCCCCAAGGAAACCCATGTGAACACAAGAAGAAACAGAACAAATTCCACACAGATAGTACTGCAGGAATTGAGCCAAAGTCCCCCAGCTCTACACCAACATGCCTTTATATTATTATTATTATCAGTAGAAAAAGTAATGTTGCTGTTTTTGTTATTCTTAGTACTGTATATGGACCAGTACAGAACTCCTTAAAGATCCTGTATAAAGATAACCAGTAAAGAACTAAAGGCATTAGATGGGAAACTATGTCTCCTTAGAAATATACATTACCATCTAAAGAGCAGAGGAAATATCATGACATACAGTATTCCATAAATGCCAGAGAAATACAAGAGATGCCTGTCTCTAGAAATTTTATAGCAGGAAAAAGAACAAATAAGCTTGAAATACTGAACTAAGAAGCTATCAAGTAGATGAATCATTGGGAATTAAGACACACAAATGATCTTAATAATATTCCGATGAATGTGCTGTAACAAATTATGATATAGAAATTGGACATTTTGTCAATTGTTTCCACAACAGGTTGGCAATTATTGGACATTCTGATATCTCGATATTAAAGCAGTTACAAAATAATATTACGAATTCAAAACATAAAAAGGCATCGGTGTATGTTACTCTTTGGTACAGAAGCTTGTTTTTTGTTGTTACAAACCACTTGAAACAAGGTGGAAAATGTATTACTGTGTCAACAGGAAAAGTAAGCCCTCCGTAAGTCTCAGGAAAGCTATATTTTTAAAACACATTTTTGAAAAGCAGACAATAATGAAAGAAAAATGTACAGAAAAACTGTACTTGTCAAAAAGAATTCTTATTGTTTAATCTACGTGCCCTGGAAAACTTAACAGATACCACAGAATTTATATAGAGAACACACGAACTGTGTTTAAAGTGACAATGAGGTTAGCAGTGAAGTTAAGAGCACAGTTCTCCTTTGAGCAGGGTATTTTAGATGGGTGCAGTAAAAAGACAAAAATACCCTGAAAGTTCGGCTATAATTGGATGGAGCTGTCAGCCTTTTTTATTTCCATGAGCCTCCCTCTGAAACTCAATACTTTCAGTGTAGTTCCTCCCACTCAATCTACCGATCCAAAGCTTGTTAGAGAACTTTACCTCATTTTTAACAAGACTTTACACTGGATTGTCACCCTGGACAAATAAAATATTTTTTACTTACATTCTATGAATAAAAAGTGATCCTCAGGCTTTCTAACTTAGAAGATGCTGCAGTCTTGTACCCTGCAGAGCAGAGAACAAGTGCACATGTAACTGGAATCTGAGGAAGACTGTGACAGAACTGTGGATGGTCAACAGAAGATTTTTTTAACCAAAATTCAAGTAAGAATCAAATATTAACATATTTATTTTCAGGGAACTCAAAATTTGACAATCAGATATTTATTCAACTACTTGAAGCTCTTACAATTATTTCAGTCTAGTAGAAGGACCTTGTGTCTATCATGTGTTTGATATTTGTTACCAATGGTAAAACCAAATGGCTGGTTTTACACTGCACATAAAGAAACATTCAACAGATATACAAATAAAAAAATACAAGATGGCACTTTTTACAAACCTTGAATTATTATTTATCAAACCACTTATGCATAATTTAGTAATTTCATTGTACAATACTTTTATACTCTAATCTAACAATGATAAAGGTTCTCTTGACTAGATTTGTGTTTAAATAAACTTTGGCTACAATTTAAACCTGTGTAGTATGTTGGTAACCTCATTGTCCTTGAAAATTGAGTTAAATTTTAAAGGCTTGCTTACTGGACACTAATTATCTTAATATAAATTAAAATAAAGTAGTCAGATTAATCTTGGACTACAGGAAAGCAGTCTGTGCACTATGCAAAATGTTTTCTTTCTTGCAAGATTTCCTGAAATATCTGACAATGCTGAATGCTCAATTTAGTGCTTAATTTAAATTAATTTAAGAAAATCATTTTATAAATGTAAACAAATCTGAAATAATTTCAAGTATATTACACTTGCAGTACTGTACATGGTGTGTAAAATGAGCTTGACTAATACATCCTGCAAAGTTAATTATCTTTCAGTGACCAAACAGAAAGCTACCACCTGTGGAAAGTGAAAAAAATACAAAATGCATGTAGCACCCACTTGTGGGCAAAAACAGAAATTAATGTCAGGTTGTACACGTACTGTAGATTAAGGCTAGTTAACATAAAAGCAGGTCTAATCTATTATTAAAGAACCTTATGCACAATATATTTTAATTAAAAAAAACAATCATTCTCGTAAAATCACAATCACATCACTTTCCTATATGATGTTCTTGAAGTAAACTGAAATTAACATGATTTTTAATCAAGATCTCAAAAATGCAAAACAGGTCACATTTTAATGTTAGCTAAGATATGAAATGCATAAAGGTAAAACCATTAACAAAATATTTCTAATCACAATGTATTAGTCTAGCTCTGATGTGAAGACTTCTGACTTCAACTTGAAGAGGATTGTAAATTATAAAACCTTATTAATAAGATTTACAGAAGTTACAGCATGTATTTACTGTAACTATACTGGTCCTGCAGCTGTTGATGGTCATGTATGCTTTAAGTTGTATTATTGTTTTTTTTATTTAATTGCTTGTTGCTAATATACTGTGTGTTGTTAAATTACACACTGTACAACTGACTAAACAGATGACACATTTGAAGCCCATTTAATAATGTTCATGCCACTTCCAGTACCAGTTTTCAATTCAATTTAAAATATTTTCTGTCATGAGATTTTGTGCTGCTGCCACTCCAAGTACACTATGTGATATCTTGTGTCTGTGTCAAAATTCTCTGTTGCTGACAGATGAAAATCTTTGGCTCCTTATTGTAGGATATTAGTGTGTTGTAATGAATTATAATTATCCCCCATGAGTACTGTTCTTTTGTCTCTGAAAGAGTAAAAGTCTGCAAATTTAAAATGAATACCAATCCAACACGGGTGATTTAACACTTATTATCCATATCTGAATATGTCTTTTGCACATATTTTCGCATATTTACCATGATTATTATTAGATTAGATTGTTATTTGTGCAGTCTGACATCAAATATTTGCATTTAATACCTTTTCTATTTATATTTATAAATAGATGTTTGTTATTTATTGAATAATTAATATTCTGTACAAATGTACAGAATATTTGTAAAATTATTTATTAGAATCAAATACCGACACAAAGCTCATGTGTGTGTATGGATGATTATTACCATGTATTGTATGTCTGCAGTGGGACTCAGTAACACTTTGACATTTATTCTTTCTACTTGTTGTGTTATCAGTTTTAAAAACATAATTTGATGACTTTTGGCATCCTAGTTTTGATTTGGAAACCATGCTTTTCTGTGGTTAACATGTAAAGCACGGTATAAAATTCTAGTTTAATTATGGTTATGTAAAAGATTATAGCTTTTAAATTCAACATCAGCTAAGAAGAATAGTTTAGAATTAATGAAATAACTATATTTTGATAATCTATTTATATTTAATTAATTGTCACAAGAACATATTTAAAAAAAAACAATAAACAGTTTTAGGTGTGCAGCATACTGTATATATCTAAAATGGCATAATACAAAGCTAATATTTTCTAGTTTTTCAAATATGTCAGGTTTTTGATTTACTCTTTCCAAAAATCAATCTAAATACACTGAAACAAATCACCTTCAAGTTAACAAAATGCCATAACCTGAATACAGTTTAAATTGCCTAAGCCTCCTTTGATACCCTCACTGACTGATAATTCAAGGTGTACAGGAGCACTAAATATACGAAATCCTTATTGTTTAGGTAATTTGTGGTTTATTTCTATGAAATAATAACTTCCAGTATTCTAACTCAAAAGGATTAACATCTATAGTACATTGTGTGTTTTAAAGGCTTTGGCTAGGAATGTACTATCACTGAAGGAATTTCTGACATCTGTTCATTGACACACCATGTGCTACTGAAGCAGAGCCTCAGCTCACACTTCAAATGCAAAAACAGAGATGCGCCACAAAGGACCTCACAATCTCACTGGATCGGCTAACCAAGGAAGCTGATGCAAGTTAAAGCTAACATTCTCTGGTGTAGAATGTCAGAGCAGGCAAATGAGGCAGCAGCTCCTCAGGTCTAACAGAATATTAATTTATACTGTACAGTAGATAGTAACATAATGTAAATATGTAAAGTACATATTAAAACAACAATGTACACCTTGAATAGACTGTAAATGCATGATTTTATCAGCATTTCTGACATGAGAGAGGACTAGCAAAACCCAAACATCTCTTTCATTATTGATCCCTATAAGCCTATACAATACAAGCAAAAGACAGGTGAAAACAGGCAGACAGAGCAACTAATACTGCACTTGGAGGAAGATTTAGAAAGAAAAGAAACAAGCCAGGTGAATTCCCTTTTGGATAAGAATATTTTTTGCCAGTTATTGTAGCCAGAAATTTGCAATGTTTCCTTGAAAAAAAAGTAATATAACTTTTATTTTGACTGATTGATGACTGAGACAACTTTGCAAGTCAGTGCAAACTGTGTAGGAGCTACTGTAAGTAGGTGTTAATTGTAGGCAGGAAGGCTGATAATATTTAACCTACTGTTTAGCAACAGTGCAGCTGTTTCTTATCACCAAAATATAGTTCTGTGCATCATGTACAGTATGCTAAGCATTTAATACTTCAAAAGTGGTGTTTAAACCGATAATCTGTAACTTGTGGAGCATCGTGGAGGAACTCCAAAAGCCATAATACATTTGTGGTACTGGTAACTGCCACAAAATCCAAATTATGAATTATAAAGCTAATGCACTGGAAAAAGAACTTAAGAAACTCCATGGGCTCCAAGAGATTCTCAGCAAAACAAGATTCTCAGCATTCAGGGAGATGTGCAGCATGGATTGTCAGAGAAACACCCGGAGAAAGAGAATAAGGATGATGGTCCCAGGCGGTGAAAAGTAACATATTTCACTAACTCAAAATCACATCGCCAAAGAAATTTGCCCCACTTCAGAACCTTGAATCAGATACGGGAGCTTAAGGGCAGGACACTTCCATCTCTAATCCAAATTCTAAAAAAATCGGTCTCTACTAGGAATACAAAAAGAGATTTGGTGGTTGTTGGCCACTGTGATTCTCTAGAACACTATACTGTAACTGTAATTTTGCACCTCTGTATTCTCTGTGAAGCCAAACTGTCTGATGGATATCATCCATCAGAAAAAAGGCTCCTACTGTAACTAGAGCCACAATATGCATCACATAAATGTGGTATTATATGAAGCTCTAGATGCACCATGGGTGCATATAGGATTTGACTAATTTCATATTTATAGACTTAAAGATGCTTTCTCTAAATCTTAAATATTACTAATTTCTTAAAACATGTCTTTGCCATTGCAGCTGCAAATGGATATCATAAATTGTTAAATCAAGGAAGTGTGCAGTTTATAGGGGATGGGAGTGGCAAATGCCACATCATCTTATATACTGTACCAAGCCCACACATATTTCTGCGTAACAGCCTTTTCCCAAACAGCCTGTATACAGTACCATTATGTTTTTAGACAGCGAGAACAAGTTACCAACAGTAACCAAGGCATGATACACAGATTGTCCAACAGAAACCTGCTGATAGTCTATTTTTAATTCAAAAACCCAAGGATTAAAGTGAACCTATTTTCTAAAAATATAGGTTAACATTTGATGAAAAGTCCTCCTAAAAGTTTCTTATTTTAAGAATTCTATTCTGAAGTGCCTGTCGGGAGGAGGCAGTCATATCACTTTATTGTTTTACCTACAGGAGAGTTAGCATTTCTTGTTCATTACTGAATATTAACAGGATTTTTTTTAAATATCCTCTCTAAAAAAGTAAAAATAAACACTGAAATGTGTTACCACATCCCAGCATCAATGCACTGCATATACTCTGTATCCCTTGGACAAGCTTCTAGTTTGGCATATTGTCCTCCAGCTTGTGGGACAATCATTTTCGCACAAAGCTGTAATTTACATTATTTCAGCAAAGTTGTTCAAGACAATAGTGCATCTTGTTCCTCAGCTGAACAGATATAATTAAGCTAAATTTATACCAAATAAACTCATAGAAGAACTGTCTCAGATGCTGGATAAACATAGATGTTTAAACACTAAACACTGTAGTGGCAGATCAAGATATCCCATATGTATGTTTTCTGCAACAGTACCACATATGTCCTGACTAAGACAAGAAAATAATACAAATATATATTTTTTTCTTTGAGAAAGTAAAAATTAATTTAGCTTTCAATAATCATAATAGCCTCAAAGTAACCCTTAGCACATTTTCTATTTATTCAATTTATTATTACTTGTAAAACACTAACAAAAGAAATGAATACATATTGTTTTACGTTTGATTATCTCTTACACTTACAAAGTTAACTTTCTGTTGAGTAACAATTGATAAGGGTCCATTTATATTAGGACAACAATTTAAGCAAGCATTACTAACAAAATGTTTTCAGTATCTGTATATTGCAGAGGCATTAAATAGTGTCATCAAGTTAAAGGTTTATTTCTATAAATTACAAACCTGAAAATATTATTGATTCATTTTAAATAATTGTCCCCACAGGACGAAACATTGATGGTAACCACAATCCTATTCAACGGTCACTGTAAAAGAGATGGAGACGGTGTTGCGAATGGGATTTCGGATTTGTAAAATTCTAATATTCCTTGCACTGATGCTTCCAGGTGGAAGAACAATTGCACAAAGAGCAGGTAAGAATTTATAAACAACATCTCCATTTCCTACTTGGATTCAGCTATTAGCTTACTTGCATTATTCCTTTTCCTGAAAGAGCATGAAATCAATGAATATGAACAGACGTTAAAATCAAGTTCATGAAAATTTATCAGAAATATGTAAAATAGCCAGATAGGCTGAACATCATAAATGTATTACTCTATTGATGTATGTTCTTAGAAAAGAGAACAGATTTTGGATATAGATAGAATGTTCTAGCATAATTTCGATTAGTTGATTATTCATAGCTGACAGTGATTTATTTGAGTGACTATTGCAAAAACAATAAATCATCTCATTAGTTAAAGATGATAAGGAACAGGTGATGAGGTATTTTAACTTATTAAATGTCAAATGTATAGCCTGATGAATATCAGAAAAGAAACACATACAAGTGAAGCAATACTGTACACCTTGCTGATCAAGAGAACAAGGGCTTCTTGCTGTTCTCTTTCAGGGGGGTTCATACATTTTAAGCCATTTCTTCCTAACTTTCCAGGGAATTGTGTTTCTTTTTTGATTGACCTGAAGCTTACCATAAAGTGAAATTGAATATATTCCAGTTTCAGAGTAAAGTGAAATTGAATATATTCCAGTTTGGGCCAGAGTTCAGACAAAGGTTAAAGGCATTTTGAAACCTAAAGTTCTATTCTCAAACTAGTATTTTCACAAAGTGTCCAGAACGCAGAATGTACATGTGAACAAAACTATTTAAAAAATGTTTTCAGAATTAACTTTGAATATACTGTATGATGTTGAAATAATTAACCTTATTTCTCTCATTTTCATTTAGGATGTAAAAACGTTCAGTATGACTTGGTCTTTATACTGGATACCTCATCCAGTGTGGGAAGAGAGAACTTCGAAAAGGTCAGGCAGTGGGTGGCCAACTTAGTGGAGACATTTGACATTGGACCAGACAAGACACGTGTGGCTGTGGTTCGGTATAGTGACAGGCCTACCACAGAGTTTGACCTTGGGCGATACAGAACTCTGGAAGAAGTCAAAAGTGCAGCTCGGAATATCAGGTACCTTGGAGGAAACACCAACACTGGAGATGCCATTAGTTACACTACCACTCGCATCTTCCAAGATGCGAGGCCCAATGCACAAGGTATCAAGAAGGTTGCCATCTTGATGACAGATGGAAGGAGCCAGGATTATGTTTTGGAACCTTCCAAGGCTGCCCATCAGGCCGGGATAAGGATGTTTGCAGTTGGCATTGGCGAAGCTCTCAGAGTTGAGCTGGAGGAGATCGCTTCAGAACCAAAGTCTGCTCATGTGTTTCACGTTTCTGATTTCAACGCCATTGACAAGATAAGAGGGAAACTGAGGAGACGGCTCTGTGAGAGTAAGTATTATAGGATTTATAACAATGTTATAACATATTATATTATAAAATATATGACAGTATCTAAGTATCAGGCTTCTTCACTTTAACAGTTTTCTCCCAACTTTTCTCACCATTGAATTAATACTTCACAGGATGAGCACTATGTGTCATTAATGAGGAATGCTGGGAATGGAAGATTTTTCCTGGATGTAGTTGGTTGTTTAAATGGAGGATACCAACCATAAAGCTTGGCTGTAAAGGATACAAGCTGTAAAGCTTCGCTGCCAAGGAGCAATATTTTACGTTCATGTACTGCTAGTGACAAAATGATTTAAGCGAAATGATTTATATTCCTGACTAAAGTTAGCTATGAGGGAAGGCAAATATATCTGAAATCTTAATCCAAACATTAAATATGGTACTTCAAATGATACCGCAGGGCCATCTCCAGAGTCTGTTATTACACCTTTAAAAATAGAGTTTTATTTTGGCTTACAAGTTAGACAGAAATATAATGTATCGATGAGAGATACAACTTGAAAAAGTGTCCTTTTAATATAACAGAGCAGAATGGCATTAAATATGTTACAGTAGTGACTTCACCCTCTTGAGTCATGGAGAGTGTAGACTTCATAGCAGACACAGAAGACCTGGTCTAGGGAGCCTGCTTGTGAATGTGGTTTAATCCTGGCAGGGACAGAGCAGTACTCCAACTGTCACATAGCCATGGTGGTGGCAGTGAAGGAAGAAAGTAAAAAGTAAAGTTTCTAACACAATAGTCCAGAAATGTGCAATGTGTTTTAATGAAATGCTCAGTTACAGTACATGAATTTAAAACAAATGTTCCCTCAACAAGCATGCATCTTTACTGCCCGGCAGCTCAAGTTTTGCATCTAAAGATGGTCAAATAAGTGCTTTATGTCTGGATATCATACTAACCTAAGATGTTACATGTCTCAATATCTGAATAATACTGCTTGTTTATAACAGTTACACTAAAAATGGTCTATTTTAACATTTTGGGCATCCTGACAAATATGATAACAATGCTGTGTGATAGTCTTTCATCACCAGACACAGGCTTCAATCTCATCCTTTTTTGAACTGTAATCTCTCGGATCACTTTGCACTATAATGTGCATCTAAGAATATCAGTGGCAAGAAAACAACTTGGGTAAATGGTTAAGTTATTTTCGTTCTGAAAATTATAGTTCTAATATTTCAAGCACTGTACCCTTCAGCATTATCATACTACCTTATTTTTTCTAGAAATCGACTGCTTCAGAAACAGGTACTGTAAGAAAGTAACTGAAAACTCAGATTAGCCCAATAATCATTGCTTTACAGTTTCTTGGCAAAAAAAGCTGTCTTCAACTGGACATACTCTTGACAAATGACAAAAGTTCCTTGATGAGCTATAGAATTTAGATTTTTTCTGACGAACATTTGTTTTATGTTTTGGGAAATTACAGATCTACAGTGTCTTAAGTTAGTCTGCTTCTGTACATTCTCTCAATGTTATTCTACTTTAAAATAGGGGAGGGTTTTCAGAAAAAACAATAAACATTTGACACATACTCTATATCGGGAGATACAGTATGTGTATACCTGAAAATGCAATTTCAGGAGAAAAGGATTGGAACAGTAGATATGGCACACATTTGTAAATGTATTAAATCCTTCATTTATGTATAGATATGGGAAATTGACGTTATTGTTATATTTTGGATAATTGTACAATTGAAAGGCAAACTTAAAAAATCTAATCTGTCTTGAGAACTGATGAAAAGTAGAAAAAATACTGCCTTTTCTACAGTACCTTGACAGTATAGTAAGATCATAACTGCTGGGTATCAGCTGAGTCTCTGTCAACCCTGAAATATTGTAAGCTAGCAATTCACAGTAAAGATGGACTTTTTGCAAGAAAGGGCTTGATAGATCACTGGTTATACAAATATTCAGAAGGAAACACAAATACAGCTCTGTCACATAAAGCCTAATTTAAAACAAATTATACTATTCTTATTTACTCTATGTACTGTAGAGATACTGCACTACAGTATGTGAAGTTTATGAATATTTCCTTTGTCAATCATTAACCTAAAATGTTGGCAATTTCTAGGTGGTAATTTTCTTGTGGCAAGGCACTATTGACTGTGCCTTTGAATATTTTTAAATCAACTACTCGCAAACTGCAATTTTACCTTTAATAATTGTTAAGGCAAACTTTGATTTAAAGCCAACTTCGCCCCGTAATTCCTTTCCAATTTTCTTATACACCCATACCCACAAAACATATGGTCTCTAATCAAATCGTGCAAGTTTCTAAATTCAACAGCAGGGCACAGAAATAAGTTAGGGTGTCTTAATCCACAGATGTTTACGTTAGCTAAAGAAGTAGCCATTTACTAATCTGTTTTTGATTAGTACCCTACTGGTACATGAATCACAGGGAAGATTTCTGTAACCATCTGTGGGTCAGTAGTTCTTTTAACAAGAATGGCAAAGGGAGTTACCAGATGGACCAAATACAGCTTAGAATATAACTATCAATAAGAGCACCCAGTGCTTAAATACAGCTACAGCTGTCCAAAGCAATTCTGGGGTTTTTTCTTCACTCTAGAGAGCAGTTGCTGCATAGTGGATAGTGTATACTAAATATTACTTAAATAATTATTGACTATGTTTCTTTGCTATGACTACAACAATTCATATTATAGCAAACCATTTTTAGTGAATGAATGTACAGTACATTGTGTAGATAGAAACAGCTTGACTTTACCAAGTAGATGTAAAGTCATTCTCTACCACAAATAAAACAAAATGAGTTTGCTCTTTTTTATACTAACCACTACTTTGCCCGGGATAGAAAGACGATCTTAGTGGTGTAAAAGAGGGAAGCTGAAGATGACGTGAATGAGTGAAAGGCACAGCAAGTGAACCATAATGCAAACCCCCGCTATTGCAGCACTGGTGTAAAATATTCTTTGAGAACATCAGCCATACTGCAGGCATACCTTCAGAACTGAAATAGTAATTGGTGGTATTGAGTCCTAGGGTAGGTCAAAGTCAAAAGGAGATTTTTTCTGTTCTAATTTCAGTCTTCAGGGTCAATGGTTTTGCATTCTGCCAAGATTGAATACAGTAAATCCTGTAGTCACAAGTACAAAAATTTCTGTGATGCAAACAGAAGGTTGAGATACACTCATTTGCAAAGTGTTAGACATTTTGTTTTTTTCACTCCAGATTTTTCTGTTGTTTATGCAAACGTATTCTATGTTGAACTCCCACAGCTTTATGGATTTGTAGTGAGGACGAAATGTAGGCCTGACTATGTTAAGGGTACTCCCATTGCCACTTACACTGTATGAATGTGTGGCTGCTCTTTAAATTATAGTTTTTCAGCCACAATGACAGAGACCAGTTTCTTTTGAGCATGGTTTGAGAAAATTAAGCTGCAGCACCATTTTAAAAATATTTATGCATAGTTGTCATTTTAGCATGTAATCATGACTCTGAAACCGTTCTGCTCCCCTTTTTGAAGTGGGAACATGTCTGAACAGCTACAAAGTGTACTTTGCTAGCAAATAAAACAGAATTGCATTGAGGAACTACTGTAGTCACATTAACAGTACCTTCCTACAACACAATTTAAATAAAGCATAAGCTGAATTATTGCTTTCATATGCAGACTTTTAAATAGGCAACTAAATAAAATATGACTATAATATTATTTTAACCTAAGGAGAAACAGCACTGATAAAATGAAAAAAATAAATAAAGAACATACAGTATCTTAGCTGCCTCAGAGAACTTAGCTGTAGATAATATTTTTCTTAAAATACAGCATAAAATTATCTTTATAATTACTGTATTACTTTTAAAGTGGTTATGAATTGTCATAGACTATGTTTTGCAAGCATTAATGATAGTAATACTGAATTTTGAATTTTGAAATAGTGTTAACAAAACATTTAATAAACTGTAAATTAAAAAAACACTGATGCATCTTATAGAACCCTTAGTGTTACATTTCTTTTTGTAAGGTGTGCAAAACTTTGCTCATTGCCAAACCAATTTCTAAAACTATAATATTTCAGTAACACATTTGTCAAACCTGGTTTATTGCATAAACAATAAGAAAACACTTTCAGACATTATATGCATATCCTGTATCTATTCCACCTGGAATAGTTTTAATGAAATAACTTAACAGTTTTTTTTTCTGAACACTCAAAAGATATTAGAACCTTTACAGCAGCCAAACAATAGTGTTAATTTTACAGGGTAAAATAAATAAGATTCAATGCAAAAATTGAGGCACCATCTCCTAAAATTAGAAAAGCACAATCACAGATTAAATGAAACTAACACATGCCTTCCTTGTTTGAGTCTTTGCTTTCCATTCATTTTGCATTGTGTTTATTGTTCATTACAAGTGCCTCTGCTCTATTTTGTATGAAAATACTAAGGCTCCTGGTTTGTAAATACTGTATTTACCTGAGCACTTCTATACCAAATTAGAATCTTCAAGTCTTGCACTGTATAAAGTAAGGAAAAGGTTCTGAACGATCCCCACCCCAGAAAAAAGGATGCTAAAGTTAAGTTTCTTTGATTTGACAAAGTCCTTTTTATAGCTGTGATTAAAGAAAATTACAGGCTCTGATTGTACAAGACTGTCAAAAGGGAAACAGCCAGTGTGGTTTGGTTGCCTGCCTTCCAGTTTTCCAACTTCAACACCCTCATTCTATGTGAATAAAAAAAGCTTGACCGAACTACCTCCTATCCCTCAACAGTAGGGTAGTTGTGTGGCTGCATTGTTGAGACACACTCTCAGAGTAAGGGAGATGGAAAGAAGCTGCATTTGTGTGCACTTGTTAAATGCTACAACAGGTACTGACACCTAAGCCAAAAGAATGCCACCATATTTAACACAATAAGGAATTCAATGAGACTGGTTATAAAACATCTCATAGCTCCACTGTAAACTGATTATAATTAGTGGTTTTTGTTGGCATGGGAAGTTCCAAATAGAGCTATTGCTTGTAGTTCTCTGGTGATTATGTGATTAGGCTGGCAAGATGCTGGAACATGGCTCTTCACGGAGAGAGATAGCTCAAAGCATAAGGATGGTTCACAGTATTACTGAGAGAGTAGCCAGAGTCATGTACAGTATAGTATGCATATGCATAACACGTTAACAGGTTTCTTTTTTTTAATCTAATCATGTGAAAACTGAGTTATTTACACATTTTTTTTAGCCTTGAACAGAAAAAACCACTAGGGGCCCTAATTCAAAGTATTAAAAATCCTGACAATGACAACCTAATGAACTTCTTTAGTCGACAGTGACCCAGACCCAAGCGAAAACTATATGGCAGACCTCATTTTATGAAGACACATTCTTTCGTAAAAATATGAAGTATGTCAGTTATCATATCCAGACTCTATCAAAATATGTTTTAAGATGATAGCCTCTTCTGCTTGAGTTTTTTATTGAAAATTTAATTGTTTAAGGAACATTTTGGGGTCATATACTGTAAGTGCAGTGCATTGTAAAAGTATTCAACCCCTACCAGTGTGTACCTTTTTGGAATTAAAAATGATGTAGTCACATTTTTTAATTGAAGACTTACAATCAAAACCTGAAATCTCCTTGAAACAATAAACAGTTTAATGGATGATTTACAGTATGTTTTTTGTCTACAAAAACAGCAGTGAAAATTCAAAAATAAAATATATACATTACATAAATATTCAGCCCTTTACTATACCAACCCAAAATTAGTTCAGGTTCATATTTAACTTCTTTAATCCATAAAAGGTGTTTAAAAAGTGCTCAGTTTTAGAGCAAATAGTGCATGCGTCATTTGTAATTAAATAAAATGGGATATTATTGGAAGGGGAGTGAATGCTTTTGGACATCATTGTATATACAGTGGATATAGAAAAAGCCATTACATATAATAGTTACAGGTAAACAGTATAATTAAACTAATATACTGTATGTTTAGAATACACACCTAGTATTAAGGTTAATTTCTTAGTCATACTTAGATTCACAACTAATCCTTGAGTAATCCTTGTTCATGTGTGAGGTTTCTTTGGAATGGCCTTTCCACCAGTTGTGTCTATGTCAGTGTCAAAATGTGATGTTACCGGATACAAAGACCACAAATAGAAAAGTGTCACTCGGTCTGCCAATGTCAACTAATCCTGTCAGTGTTGCCTTTCTTTCTGTCACTAGTGGGCATGCCCATTCTGTACTCAAAGGAAAAGCTCAAGGCTTTCAGATACACAGGCACAAATATGAGACTGTCATCAAAGTAAGATGACTCTCAGCTCTCACTCCCTTGGAGCCACAGTCCATTTTTTTGTGTCTGTCAAGCACGTCAACTGCCAGCAGGAATTCTGCCCACCCTACAGAGGTGGAGCCAAGCATCTTGAGCCACATATCAGAGCTTTAATTATCTGTGAAACTGAAAATAAACATTGCATGACATGAATGAAAAATGAATTACTGATATTCTGTATTTGTGCTGAAATATTACATCCACAATCAACTATATTTCTGAGGACATTCATTTTCTGAAACAATACTCAGATTCAGAAAGGCATTAATTGTTGTGAACTCACCTAAAATAGGGACTACTTGAATAAGATTCATAAGATTGTATTATCTCTATTACTGTAGCATTTAACCTATCATAAAAATAAAAATAGATTAAAAACGGAAGGATACTTTATCAATATTTGATTCCTTTAATAATGTCTTGATCCTTTTAAATTCCAGATCCATTTCTATCCATTTAATTTGTGTGCCTCACAGATCTAAGACTGGGTAATCTTACTGTAGCTTTCCTTATAGAAGTAAGCTAGAATTTTAAACACACAATATAAAACTATAAACTAAACTCTGGGGCATGAAGCAATGCTATTTTAGGAATCAGTACATTACATCACTTTCAATAACTGCTTATCCAATTCAGGGTTACGGTGGACTGGAGCCCATCCCAGGAAGCACTGGGAGCAATGCGGGATACACCCTGGATGGGATGCCAGTCCATCGGCGGGCACACACAGCCATGAACTCGCACGCACTCACACCAGGGCCAACTTTACAGAAGCCAATTAACCTACTGTACCAGTACTGTATGTCTATGGGACTGTGGGAGGAAACTTGAGAAACAAACTCCACACAGATAACAGCCCAAGACATGAACCTAAGGCCCCAGGGCTATGAAACAGCCAAGCTAATCAATGTGCCACCATGCCACTCCTTAAGTAATTAAAGTTGTCATAAATTGTCAACATAAAAAGGTGGTTTAGAACATGCTGGATATTGTGATTTAATGATTGAAATGTTTTTTTACACTCTTTATTATTTTATGTTGATTCTCACCTTTTTGTCTCCATAGATGTGCTCTGTCCAAATGTTCACATTGAGGGCGACAGGTTTAAGTCCATCAGTGGCAAAGACATGGATGAAATTCCAGGTAAGGACGATGGTTTTTAGATTACTCCAGGTAATAAGGAATATACTAAAATTCTGAGAATACAAAAGAAAATAAAGACCTGGATACTCCTGGATCAAATAAAATGCTAGCAGCCAAACAAGCAAGATGACTTCAATAGCCTATTCTTGTTTGTGACTTTTCTTATTTTCTTGCAATTAGTCACTCCATCTAAAAAAAAAAGAAATGGATATTAACAGAAAATCTGAATTTATTTTTGCCTTTTCCAAATAACACATCACACCAGTAAATTATAAATGCATAGTGCTTGATGGTTACTTTTGTTATGATAGAGCAAGCATCAAGTACTGTATATGAGTTGGAATTTATGATTTAGTTTAAATTTGTCATTTTCATCCTTAGACAACGAACAATAATATCAGGGGGAAAAACATCCAAAAATTGCTGCGGAAAATAACAATTAGAAGAAACCAACTGAAGGAGGATCTTATTTATCTTTATTTGGCTACTACAATATTGTCACTATAAATGTGGTTAAAATTCTCAAGGATGGTTTGGGGGACCCTGATTAGAAATAGCTCAAGGCATGCTGACCTAAATTACATTGGTTAACGAAGGCTTTCAGACAATTAGGGCCTGTGAAACCACTAATAAGTGTTCGGACGTTGAACTATTTTCTTGCTTTGAAAAACTGCAGAATGACGCTGGAGTTTCCATATTGTGTAGTCTTACATTACTGTTAATGTTAACATTTATCCATCTGTCATCATAAAGCTGCTTATTACTGGTAAGAGTCATGGGAATCCAGAGCCTATCCTGGAAACACAGGACACAAGGCAGGACTACACCCTAGATGTCTCAGCATGTCACTGTGCAGTTACATTAACCTTCAGCAAACTTATAGTTACAGATTGCCCTTATATTAAAGCTTTTGTTGTAATTAAAATAAATGTCTTAAATTTAAATTGAAAAAGCACTCATTGACGTGTTTTACAGGTAAGAGGAATGTAGCAGATGAGATCAGGTTTAGGAGCATTAGAGTCTAATGCTAATCAAACCTTAAGTCTAGCTGGATAAGGATGGGAAATGGAAAAAGTAAAAAACAGCTAAAGCACTGGTTTAGAAAGAAACTGTGCCGTAAGAAGTGGTATCTGTCATTAAAGAAGATAGACTCTGGTTTTGTCATAACATTGTCCTCATTTACAGTAGGTCTATCAAAGATTGCCTTTGCAAATTCCTATATTTTCCAATGTTTCTATTGTTCAATAAGTTTCTGATGCACACCATATACCAGAGGTTAACAAACCCATAAAGTTCCAAAAGAGTGGTGTCAATCTTGCATGGTCAGTTAGAGAAGTTCTAGTTGACCATAAACTCTTTGTTCTTTAGAAATGTTCAACAATAAAGCTTTACCTCAGGAGAATTCCCATTCACAATCAGTTAAAAGTGGTCTCTTAGGGCATCTACAGTGCCTGTATAGTCTACACACCCTTTGCAAAGTAACACATTGTCTGACATCACACATTAAATGATAATTAATTTTACTTTTATTTACACATTATAACACACAACATCCATGTTAAGAACAAATATTCAAACAATCGGACAAGTAATATCAAATTTTGAAAAAGAGTGCCCAAACTTACTAATGGCACTTTATATTGAACATGGTAATGTTACGTGAGAAATCAGTCAATAAAACAATTTTTCTGTAATATCTGAACCTAATGTTTTCATTGTAAAATACTTTTTTTCTGCATAAGAATAAGGGTTCTTAGTACAATAAAATGTACAGTATCTTATTCAAGGACAAGTGCTTTTCCTTTATTACAAATTAATTCAGTTACTGTATTCAGCACCAGTACTCAGAAGACCTTGCCAAATCTGAAAAAAATAATTACTTTAGTATTCCATGGAGCAGCACAAGAAGTATCTATCTGACCTAAGGCAGCTCTACAGTATTAAATAAAAGATGTTTCTGGTCTGCAAGGAGAAAAAAAAACAATCCATGTGGATTATATGTAAAACAAAAGTAACAGAATAGTACAAAGTTTCATAAAATGGCTTTCACTTCAGTCCCACTTCAGATATTAGTAAGAACTCCAGTGTACATGTGGCATTCAACTCCAGACCATCAGATCTTCATTTTTCAATTACAACTACAGTAAACTGCTTAATTTAAGTAATTATTAGCTTAACTGAATTAATTAGCTTAACCACTTTTCAGAGGTCATCAGTTGCTGAAGACTTTAAGATGAAGTGGTGTGTTAAGGCTCTTGAAGAAGACACCTATGATCCTGTCTATCAATACCATGAAAATGCTTTGGATAGAAAGAAGGCAATGACTTTTATGCTTGAACGCTCCTCTGAGAGTATTTAATCAAAGTTATCCCAGTAGGCTGTGTGTACAGATGTCACCAGCTTACGGGATCAAAAGAACTTGCAGGCTCTTTGGTTTCATTTCCCAGTTAATTCTTTCACTTTTCTGTAGTTAAACCATTCAAGCCTGGAGTTTCAATACGAGTTCAAAATAGTTTTTAGAGCTGATTACATGTTTTGCATTGCCAATCCAAATTACAAGTTTTGACTTGGTTCATCCCAGACCTCAATGTAGCATCTACTGTGTATCTGCAGTGCTCCATAGAGAATACCATTCTGTGACAGACATGAAAAACAATGTGGACATATTCTGTCTTAGTTCCTTAATTAATAAATCATAATTAAATTGATTAATTCACAATTAATTAACTCAATGACAGATAACAGGCTGCTTTGATATAAAATGCTGCTTTGAATGACTGTCTTACTGTACAACAGCTGCTTTAAAAAGTCTTAGTTCAGATTTCAAAATCGGTTTATCACATACTATAACAACAGTTTGTCAAATATGTGACCCTCGTATGAAAAAAATGCTCATTTAATGTTGCTGCATAAATAAGAGCATGTAACTTTTAAAAAATATATATTTCAGTCCTGGAACGAGCCTTGTGGCAGATGATGACCATAGTTTTACAATAAAAATTAAAATAGTTTTGATGGACTTGTTTTCGCTAACACTACTTTAAAACGCACTGAAAAAATCAGTCTTTAACCATCGATGGTACTGTATTTGTAATTTCCTTGCTATTTTTTGAGTAATACTTTTGGTTCAAACCACACATACAGCTTAAGATACTCAGGGTCAATTGCAATTAACTTCCTGAGTTAATCCACAGTTGTGTACTAATTATTGTACTATTGTATGATCATCCACAGCTGGATAGAAGTCCCAAATTTTTAGACCAAAAGATGTCAGAACAAGGAAACAATAACACTGAAAAAATCTCATTATGACCACAATCTGAAGCACACGACCAGATATCTCATTAGACAACACCTGCTCAATTTGACAGAGAGTGTGTGATAACTGTATTGGCCTTAGTAGTCAACTTCAGGTTCATTAGAAACAATCATCCTCAATCACAAGGAACAGCCAACAGATGAATGATTCTCCCAATCTGTGTACTAAATTAAATGTTTATGTAGGAGCTATAAGGACACAAGGATTACATATTGAATTAAATATAATAACAAACAATTGCATTAGGTTTTAATAGTTCCGATATCTGTATCAGTAAGGTTAGTAAATGCATGAAAGCAATCTCATTTTGAAATTAAACACCCATAAAAAATGTCTTTATAGTGATTGATTATGATTTTATTGTTGATGGGCACTCTTGTTACAAGAGGGTTAGGATCTTATCACTTATGTCAGTTTTAAGAGAATTATTGTCTGTAGATAATCTAGGGTTTGGTTGGAAAACAGTGGGATTACCTAATGGCAACTGCAGATGCTGTGCTGCCCCAGAGAGAATAAACTAATAGCATGGCACAGACTGAAAATAGCAAAGGGAATAAGAATAAAGACAGTCATAGGGCTAATAGAGGAATAGAGCTTGAAGTACTAAATTAAAGTGCTCTGACTTGTCTGTCTGACATGAATGAAGATACTGTAGGTTCTACGTGGAAAAATAGCAGCTAAAGATTTTAAAAAATGATTTTTGAGGATACTGTATGTAGTAGCCCAGTACCCATGAAAAGTTAATTTAAGAACAGCTGGAGCCTGCAGCCTGCCCCCTTTTAAGTAGCTATAATTGTGTTTAAGTTGGCCTACATTAAAAACCCTTCAATAAAACTCAATTCTGTCAAAGCAGTAAGTTTCTTTTTAAATGGTTCTTCATCCTAAGAAGCATTTTCGGATCACAATGAGATAGAGATGGCTGGTGCAGGCTTACAGCTTCAGACATTTCTGCTGAATGTTTTTTCTTTGCCTGCTGTTTATGTTTTCACTCTCTCCCTCTCACCCCATCTCTCCATTGATTCGTCGGCGAGGAGGAATAATACCTGTACTAAAGCATTTTTCTATGTTACAAGTCACCCTCGATAAGTCATATCCTGCATAAGCTAGAATTCATATACAATATACAGTATGTATTCCTTATTAAATATAGGAATAATTGAATTGCACAGCAGATTGGAGTTTTAAACATTTCTTCAACTTAGTTTAGTATTAAAACTATGGATTTACTCCATCAAAATGAGTACATCACATAAATCCCACTAGGGGAGTGACTGTTTACCTGAGGGATTGCTGTGTCTGCTAGTTTTTATTTTAACTGGGCCCTTAAACAGTGGTGCTACATGGTACCTGTAACTGACAAGCTTTGTGGTTTCTACAGCACTTTTTATTGTACACAGTCCTTGGTTTCAAAATAACCCTAGTTACAGTATATTACTGTGTTTCCAAAAACAACACTTTCCAGTTTCTCCTCTAACTTATCATTTTCTTTCATTTGAGATTAAAAACTCTTAACAGGCAACCCATTTTAGACCTTATTTAGGCAACCAGTTTATGATTAATAGACCCAGGTGGCAATGACTAGCAATGAGTATCACACATTCCCAGAAATATTTTTTTTTCTGCTTCTTAAAATCATTTGCAGACATTTCAGCTAACACATCAGGGAGTTCTGAGCTGGCAGGGGTTTTATACTGTACCAATTACAAATCCCATACAACTTTTTAAGAGCTGAAAGAAAATATATTGTAACAACACATAATAGGATATTTAAAATAAATTTCTCCACAATTAAGAACCCAGGTCCAGGTCTGAGATTCACTGTTCTAGATTGCAAAGGCAATAAGTCACGAGGGGACTAAATTAATTTACTAAAGTCATTGCAATTTAACTTGTGTATAAACTCACCAAAGAACTACAGACTAACAATGGGATTATTCCCTGTTTGTATATTTCTTTCAGATTATTAAAATTCAATCTCAGGGATTTCCTGAGCTTTATTTGTCATATTGCTATAGTTACTTGTATGTTTATTTTTAAGCAGGAAATGGGTGTGGTCAAAGTTAACCACCTTGCGGGTTGGCAAATCTAAAAGCCTGTGGCAAATATCAAGCCAAATACCTTCTATACTCTAATCTTGCATTTATTTGCAGCCTCAATATAGTTTCAGTTTGAGCCACAGTGACACTAATGTGTGGATCAGATATTTTAGGATAACCTAAATAGCACTGCTACATTTTTAACAGGCTTTGGGTTTTAAAAACACAAAGCAGGAGGCAACAGTGTGGAGTTTTGGTTAGGGCTCTGGAGAGCTGTGGGTTCAAATTCAGGGTGGATGCTTCTATTATACAGTGAGCAGGAGGGTCCTTTCTCCAGTAATTGCCATGCTGTAAAAATGGATCTTAAATTGATGAGAATGTAAATGAGAATATACAGTACGTTAACTTGATTTAGATAACAGAATAATAAAAAAGTGAACTGGTAACACAAAGTCCACTTTAATTTCTAGAAATGTGAAAACAAATGGGCCTCCATTCAGCAGCAGCTTTGAGTTCCCTGCCCTTTCCACACACACTGTCCAATCAGGTGTGGTTTCAAGCCCAGACTTTTTCTCCATACCAGAACTTTACCCATGATGCTGGTGTAGCAGAGCTAGTTCAGACACGGTGACGTCACCACCCTCTCTGCACGTAGCAGGAACCTCAGCTGCCTAGGCTGGGGGAGGTCGCTTTTAGCTCATGTGGCTGGTTGCGTTACGCCGGAGATCCAGGTTCATGCCCCAGGTGTGTGTCCCATATAGTATGATTTATGTCTTTATTTATAAAGGTATTTATCCAAGCAACCTAATTTTCTGTATTACAAATACGGTTGTACTATATGTGCCGTAAATGTCTGCTTCCTGCCATCACATCATATGAGCCTGGTTATTTAAGCATTAAGTTTACCAATTTCCAAAGTTCACGCATCCATTCATTATCAGAAATCTGCTTACAGTATACCTGGCATGGGTCTTGGCAACCTAAAACCTATCATAGAGCTCAGGGTGGAACTACAGTATGCTCTGGATGGGAAGCCAATTTTTAGTTCAAGGCACAAAGCCAGGCTATAACTACAGTATAGAAACCTTTAAGGAACATAAACTGAGAACTGGATTCCCCTAATATGATAAAGGTGTCTATCTCAGAGATAGAATTAGAATTCTAATGCTTATACCAGTAAATACAAAGCTGTAAGTTCTCTCTGTGAGGAAACCTACCATAAAATAAATGCTGATTTAAAAGACACCAGTATTGACTGCTTAAATCTTTAAAGTTTTGCGGTAGAGGGTATTGCACTTCTGTGTGTTTCTGGAAGGCAGACTTGATTAAAAAAGTTATGATGGGCCAACATGTTCAGTATAGCAGAGGAAGATCTGTATTGGAATCAGTTTGATTTTAATACAGTATGTATTTTATGTGCTCATGGCGTATTAATATCCTACAGGACATACAGTATAAAAATCTCATGCAGGTTTCTAGGACTCGCAGGGGTTGTTTTATTTTTTTCCGTCTGAAATGAGTCCTGGAGGACCTCACTACAGCATTTTGTTATGAATCTACTTCCCCCGCTGTCTTTCAGCGTAAGACTGCATGAAACAGGGAATTTCAAATGGAAGACTGCATGAAACAGGGAATTTTCTTGAAAATACCACATTGCGTTGATTGTTTCCAGGGAAAAATAATTTCATAAAATAATTTAGAACTTGAAATTCAAAATAAGTCAAATTTTTAAGTAACATAAAGAAGCATAAGCATAAAGGACAAATGTTCATCTTGATTATGTGCTATGACAAGTGGTATCTTGTATCTTTTTGGCACTCTTTTCACACTTGTAACTCCACCTAGTGGAAATTAACTGAACTTCAGAAAATGTGAAAGTACATAATGCATGTACAGTACTGCATTATAACATTTAACAGCTAATACAGCTAATTATGTATTTTTTTTTCTCTTTCTCTTTGATATATATATATATATGTCCGACATAAAACCGACATAAAATCTCATATGTGTTTTCCCCCTGACAGGTTTTGATCTTATGGAATATTTTAATGTGAAAGACATTTTTGGGATGAAAGATGATATTAGTCAAAGTGCCTACGTACGACTTGGAACCATGCCTATTGTCCAGCAGACTGAGTAAGTGAATTAGTTTTACAAACTGTACATCTGTAAGTAAATACCTTTGTTAGTAACCTGCTAAAAAATGTTTGTTATACTCTGTTTGCCAGCACTTACATGAATCCCTTCACTGACACTTGATTGTCCTATGAAGATTAGAATCAGTCTATTTTCACATATTTGATTTTGATTTAGCAGCACCCATGGGTTGAGTCAATGGTTTTGAAAGTGCTTATCACATTTCTGTGTTGCTTTCATGCTTATAGTAGGAAGGGGGAATGCTTATCTACAGTACTTAACCTCATGTTAAATTGCATGGATAGCAATACATCAGAGCCTAACTGTTCTGATATATCAAGTTGACAGTACATTAAGGCAAGAAGAGGTAGAGGCTTTCATTTCATGACTTGACCTTCACTTTTCAAACAATACTGTTTATACTCTGATATTACCTGAAGACGTTCATACAAAACCTTTGGTGGTATTTTTACAATGGTACCGTAGCTTAAAAATATTGCATTTGTTCCTTTTTACAAAACAAAGTAAATTGCATTTGGATTGATGAAAGGTACAGTACTTTCACCATACTATGCACCTTACCCAAGAAAATTTTGAATTTGTTTGCTAGTATAGCTGGCTTCACATTTTTGTCTCCCCTAATTAAGTCTTCAGTGCAGCTGGCATTGTCAGCCAATGTGAAAGTATGGATGACCAGACCATTACTCAAGCTGAACATTCATTCTTCTGAAGGCACTACACCCACACCCATTTCCTTGACCTGATATGCGACTCATAAACCTCTATGGGTTTGGAATAAATTTTAGTCTGTATTTCAAGTTGTGCAGTGGTTGTCAGTGTTTGATAACTTTTTTACAGGACTAGTCATAATTAAATTGATACTTCATGTTGCCAAGGATAGTTCCAAGCTCATTTCTATTGGTTTATTCCAAAACTGACAGTGTTCATACAAAGCTTTGTGTATTCAAACCCATCTGTGAAAGGTAGGTGCCTTAGCCATTGAAAATGCCCTCATATCAGCAGGTAGGAGTGAAAAACGAAAAACAAATAACATACATACAAGAAGGTCAAATAAAAGAAAAATTAAACTTTGATGGCTTATCATGCATTTCTAATTTTTTATAGGAAAAAACATAGAATAAGTCATGCTAAATAATACGCTTTTGGTCATTTATAAAGCTATATAAGACTTACAGTATTTTTGAAAACATATGGTCAGATTGTTACTGTATATTTAATAAAATATACTGTACTGCACCTTTATTATGTACAGTATATACTGTGAAAGGGATATCTTGATTGCTCATGAAACTAATTTTTTGTCTGTAGACCACGATCATTCTTGTAAAATAACAATCTTTTTTCTTGCAATAGAGATGTATTTCCTCAAGGTCTTCCAGATGAATATGCTTTTGTGACCACATTCAAGTTCAGAAAAACCTCCAGACGAGAAGATTGGTACCTCTGGCAAATTTTTGACAAGTATGGGATACCACAGGTTTGTTAGATCATTTGGCATATAAATTGACAGAACACGATGAAACAAAATTTCTCCAGTTACGTGTTACTTGAGTACCAAGGAATTTATTTAAGGATTTCACAAAGGCTAACTGCAGTAATCCCATACTTTGTATGTTAAATTAAGTTATGGTCCCTTCTCACTTACCTTCATTGCGAAGAAGAATAAGAAATATCATTGAAAGTAGTCTCACAGACTCAACCACTTTATGAGAGAAAATTGTAACCCGGAGTCATTATTTTTGTGTAACTCATGCCATACCTGCTGTTACGTCTTCACAGAAGTCAGTAAACCTGTGCAATGCCTGTGCCATTCTACAGCATGTAATATTTTACTCTCCCTTCAAATGATAAAATTACAATTCTGAAATACTGAAGAACTACTTTCTTTAAAAGCTAAAGAAAGAATCTGTTCCTGAAATTAGTCTGTAGCGTTTGTGTTCTGACTGGTGCATTAAATAGAAGGTTCATCAAAGTACTACCATACAACATACAGTACATACATGATTTTTTGAAGTTTTATGACAAAGATTTAATTTCCCTTTGTTGTTTTTTTTCACCACTTTTAGGTGTCCATTAGATTAGATGGAGAGAACAAGGCAGTTGAATACAATGCCGTTGGACTAACAAAGGATGCAGTGAGAGCCGTCTTTAAGAACCCTGAAGTTAATAACTTGTTTGACCGCAACTGGCACAAGATAGCCCTAAGTGTTCAAGCCAGATCAGTGTCCCTCTATCTGGATTGCAAACTCATAGAAACTCTGCCCATCGATGACAGGGAAGACATTGACATCCGAGGGAAAACTGTCATTGGCAAGAGGCTCTATGACAGTGTGCCCATTGATGTGAGTAACAGCATTTTTGGTCCATATTCAGTAAACATGAGCACTGAATCTTAGATTTTGCTTATTCTTAATTTAGGATACAATAAGCTGTGACCTATCACAAGTTTATTTTACTACTAGAAAAATAGATACAATTCATTGTTGTATTAAGGAGACAGGACAGTAGGGGGAAATGGCACAGTGTATCAAACTATGTGTGTTTGACTTATGCAATTGGGAAAATGTAAAAAAAAAAGTGGTCTAGCTTAATATTTAATTAATCTAGATTCAATCTTGTGAATTTCTTTACATTTTTATTATGCGTTTTAATATTTAGTCAGGGCAGACTCAAGTATAAGTAATGCAGTGAATGAATTGATCAGTATTAATAAGAGGTCAGCATGGTTGTTTGGTGATAAGGCTGAATGTTCTTCCGTTGCTTACATGGGGTTTTCCTGGATGGTCTGGTTCCCTTCCAGACACATGTAGGTTAGGCTTGGTTAGTTAATTTATAGCTTTACTAGTTACTTCACATTGCTCACACCAGGGTGTGATATGTTCTATACAGTACATGCTCAAGATACACATGAAGAATAAGTGCCATAAGAGTAGTATTTATTTCCTTTGAGATGTTCCTTTTAACCATCTGGAAATATACATTTCTCCACCAGTTTGACCTACAGAGAATGGTGATCTATTGTGACTCGAAGCACGCAGAGTTGGAGACCTGTTGTGACATCCCATCTGGTCCTGTAAGTTCAGCAGTTGTGCTCTCTGTGGTGCAAAATCTCACATAAACACTTTTCTCCACATTCCCACATGGCAAAACATGTGTTTTAGAGTAGTGAAGTTGTTCGAATATATCAGACTCTTTGCAATTAACTTTATTCCTTATGCGAAAATAATGAAGGACTACATACCGTATTAATCAGTTTTGACTTTTCTAAGTGATCACAGACTTACTGAAGATTTCAGTAAAATGTGTGAAACCCATTAAGAGCTGTACAGATTATGCTGCAACATATCATTTATTTTAAGGTGTGCCTAAATGAATTCCTGTTCAATTTGTGGACGATGTTGGTTTTGGCTTTGGTTTTCCCAGATGTGTTCAACTGGTGACATCACATGACTAGTGAAACAGTGCAATGTTCTACCTATGGGAATATCCACACAGATGTGTACAATAAATTTCACTCCACAATGGTAGTGAGAGTTTCACCAAGGCTGGCCTGTCCAAAACTGTGATCTCTAAACAGTTGCAGGAATGTATGGAGGTAGTAGCATGAAGCAGACTGCACTGTTACTGTAGGTTCTCTCTGCCACTTCTATCTGAGACAACAAATAACAGAAAATCTACTGTAACTTTCTACACATTGAGTGCACTGTTTTTTATACACTAATACGCACCTAAATATACTGTGTATTGTTCTCCATCCTGTCTTAATTGAAATAAAAAAGCCTAAAAGCTGACTATTAGCTATGGTTTGTCATTTTCAGTGCCAAGTCACTGTTGTGACAGAGGCCCCTGTCATTGATGTCACAACACAGAGAAGCGGAGAGCAGCACAGTGGTCACCAATCAGTGAACTGTACCTGTCCGGCTGGTGAAAAAGTAAGAACCCTTAGAAGGAACTCCATCTCTTGCCCATTGTTACATATTGATTTGGGTTACAGAAGCTTAAGTGCATAAACCAATACATCACTCATTTGAGGCTAATTAAGTATGTCTGACATAGTGAATGAATTTTTCCTGGAAATTGAAACACCCAATATCTAATTTCTCTTGTTTTATACAACTAACCCAAAGTGTTTTGCATTAGTATATTACAGAATGCTTAAGATACT